AATCAATTTGACTCATCATACCTGAACCTCAACATCAAATCTTCCTGGACGCATAAGGGCCTTATCAAGATCATCTCGTCTATTGGTGGCCCCCAGGACAATAACACCATCATTCTTGTGGAAGCCATCCATTTCCGAAAGCAGCTGGTTGATTGTCTGGTTGGCATAGGGATGGAGCACTGAATTTGATCGCTTGGCGCCAACAGAATCAATTTCGTCAATGAATATGACACATGGAGTTCTCATCTTAGCAGCACCTACAATATCAATGAAATGGTTTTATTATTTAGGTTAATACCTTAAATTTTTAATATTTCTTTTTGGATTAAAGGATAGATTAAATGATAATTCTGACTATTAGTATCCAAAATTCTATAAAATCAATTCCATTTTAGCCAAAAACAAAGACTTACGGAAGAGATCCCTAACTCTGCGTGCCCCTTGGCCTACTAGGATCTCGTCAAATTCTGGGCCAGCTGCATGAAAGAAAGGCACTCCTGCCTCCCCTGCCACTGCCCGAGCCAAAAGTGTCTTGCCTGTGCCTGGAGGACCCACAAGCAGTACACCCTTTGGCAACTCAGCTCCCAATGAAGTAAACTTCTCTGGATTTCGCAGGAACTCTACAATTTCTTGCAATTCCTGTTTGGCTTCTTCTACCTATATGGAGTATTTAAATCTTGTTTAGAGCTCATGTCATAATATAAAGAGATCAGAGTATATGTGCAAATAAATTTAGGAAGTTTTGCTAACATTAACCATCTTCCAAACGAGAGCAATTATCTATCTATACTACAAGAGTGATCAAAAGCAAAATAAAGATGACAGTTGATGGACACTCCCTAAAATACCACCACAATGATCAAGATAATCATAAGCGAACTCTTTACTTAATCTTCTTATCCATATATAAACCTTAAAGGTACACAACTGTTACCTACTAATACAAGAGTAATGCCTCTCCATTTACTGAAAATTTTAAATTAGAGAATCTCAGCTGAGATTAGTTCGCTGAAGTAACTGTAACTCACCCCTCTGACATCCTTGAAGGAGACAATGATTTCCTCTGGGTGGACCTCGTTGCCATTTCCTACATGCATTCGGAACATGGACCCTCCCATACCGCCTGTGAAAAATAAGCATAAATAAAATAAGTGCACTCAGAACACTGACCTATCCATAATATAAAACTTAGATCTAGTTGATCTCTAATGCAGATATAGTCAATACTAAAATCTGTTAGGTAATAAAAAATATATATATGTATATAAATATGTACTCAGTGGAAACACTATTTATATTTCAATTCCCGCATTTAAACAAATCATTTCAGACATATTAACATCACTTACAAACAAAAACCTTAAAAAATAGTCACAACAGACCCATTAGTGAGAAGAGAATAGCAATAAACACGACAATGGCCAGGACTTGTTGGAAGTTCCTGATCCACCTCATGGTACGTGACTGCTGCTTCTGAGGTTCTGCTGCCAGATATCCCTCTGCAAAAGCCACCTTCATGTTTTTGCGAACCTCAGAAGATGATTCCTCTGTCAGCATACCTGGTGTGAATTTAAAAATACTTGTCAGTCCCTTCTTCCTCTTTCCATTTTCTTTATAAGTCTCATCTTTTACAAACATTTTTACTCCTCAGTTTGATGTGATAAATAAAACTAATCAGCTAAAAATAACAATAGCATTACCTACATAATAACAATAATATAATGAAAATCTACCTTTTAACTTTGCATTACTCTCTGCCTCCTGCTGGATATTCCTGCTGGAGCGCTGCCTGGACTTCAGGCCATCTCGCAACCGGTCAGCGACTGTGGTTTGCCTTAGAGATTCACGTTCGATGGACTGCTGTGTCTTGAAGCCACGTTGCTGAGTCAAAACTAGAGATAAAGGGATTTTCAGTAGCATTTTCATTACAAAATTAAAATACATGTATATATTTTTGTACACTAAGAAGTGGGGAAGTGTCCTGTAATGAAATATTGAAAAAAATTATATTAGTGGTAGTGAAGTGGTGGTGACTGGTAGTAATTTTAGTGGGTGATGGTGATTAACTGTAGGTGTTGGTAGTAGCAATGAATGGTAATGATTCATGGTGAATGACAGATTAATGGTGACTAGTATTGATCCGTGGTGATTGGAACTCATTGAAGTTGAAATCAGATTAACCCATTGGACTTGGATCCCATCATGTGGCCCAAAATACAGGCATTTGGCTTACTTGAGAGGCCACTCTGCTGGGTGTGTGGCTTGTAAGCCAGGTGCACAAGAACTCTCATGTGTGGTGACAAGACACCATTCCTCCCCTTTGCTATAACATTTTCTCCTGTTCTGCATAAGCATTTTTAGATTTTTTGCCATTTTCCAATGTCTATGTTTGTCATTTGAATTGCTTTATCCAGATGGTAATAGACTGCTTCCTTCCATATCATCTTTCTAGATAATCCTTAACTCAGTACAATAATAATAACTATAAGTAACAAGGTTATTTGCATCATCTTTCAGTTTTTTCATAACATTAAATTTTCTGTGATACAACCTGCGATGCCAGTCACAGCTGGTAGGAGTAGAAAATGTCCTCCCTGGGGTCAGTGCTCTTCCAGTCATGGCTCACAGATCGTAAACTTCTCTCTTTTTTTTTATGTAAATCATGTGAAAGCCCCTTCCTAAATGCCCAATGCATTAATCACCTTCCATAACTTTCAGCTAAATTTTCCCATGACGGTTTATTGAAGTCATCCACTCCTCAAGCCAAGTTATTTTATGATTCATCTAGATCGGATGGGTTAACCCAGTCACACCAGGTACATTTTGTAGCCAAAATTTAAAAAATCCGGGCGGCTACAAAATCGGCGGGCGGAGCTTCCCGGAGTCTGTCCGCCCACCCGGCCGCGAGCCGCTTCTGCCTCGGAGCGCAGCCCCGAGACAGCATCGCACTGGCGGTCAGCCCGACATTGTTTATTTTTCCCGGTGTCTCATATATGTGACACCCGGGACGAATGGGTTAATGGTGAATGGTATTGGTGGTGATTAACTTGTGGATAGGATAGGATTGCATCTACCACTTGAACTGGTCTATATCCCTTTATGGATTTTGGGGCTTAAATACTAAGATGATGTGGGAGCTATCTGGAAACAAGGGGAGCCTGCAGTCCAATGGGAGATCCATAAGGTGTCCATGTGAGCCAGTTAGGTCACAAGAAGTCACAAGAGTCACAAGAACTGCCTGCTGGGGAGTAAGTGAGGACAAGATTGTGAATCTGGTTTGAGCCAACCTGGGAAGTATGCACAGCTGCAGGTTGCAGGATCATGCTGCTGCATACTCATAACCTTCTGATAACATGGGGTTCACGTTATGGTTGATTTGGCCAGGTAATGCATTATTCATGCCATGGCCAACTTGAATGTAGCTCCAGGTGATGCGTTATTCATGTCGCAGCCAACTTCGATGTGACTTCAGGTGACGGGTCATGCACATCATATTACAATGATGCATATAATGCATTTTAAGCTGATCTTTATAAGGAACCCTCATGCCCACATTGTATGCCCTAAGTCATTACCTGAGAAAACACAGGATGTGTAATGCTATGACTGGATGAACTTTAGTACATATATCATTCGCCAGCCATGCATGGAAGATGCAACACAAAAAAACATGATGCTCTCTTGCAGTTAATGTGAACCAGTAAGCAATCTTCACTTATGTAAGAGCACTGTCACCTCATCTGCCTTTTGGCACTCTGCCAGTGTGACTGTCTTGAAGTATGACCAAAATATGGGAGGTACTGAAGCTGCAGCAGCCTTGCACATTACTGTATATCATCTCATATTTCATACATATCAGAATTGCAAAAATGAGTGATTTTTTCTTGCTTTTTATCCTTCAATAAAGCAACATTCAGTCTTATAGATAAAGAGTAACATACTTTATTTGTCAAAATAGACTCTAATATACATAATTAGGCTACTACAGATTCAATCTAGCAATTAAAATTCAAATCATGCCTCTCTGAATATGCAAAAAGTGCTATGCACCAACTGCATCTGAAGAAGTCCACAGAGGCAAGCCCAGTTAGCCATGCATCCTAACCTAAGCAGTGGCCAAGTCAACCACATATTCTACTGGAGACAATGGGTTAATGGCAATTAGTGACTGATGGTTGATAATAATTTATGAATGATGGCAGTGTTGATGGTGGTGATGGTGACTGACAAAGTAAAATACTCCCAAAGACAAAGATGTATGGTACTGAGCAACCTTTACCTGCTTGATGCAAAGGTTTTGACAGGAGCAGTCTCTCAGTCACTGCAAAGATAGGCTTAAGACGTACATCTCCGCAGAAGGTGGATAAGGCCTTCCCATTTCCTTTGTTCTCTGAGAATGTGTTGGCTGATATATGGGACTCATGCCATGCTCCTCTCTTCCCTGAAATAAATACCAGATTAATACTAATCTAAGATATTACATCCCTTAAATGTCAAGATATGCATTTGGTACAGATATTATATATATATATATATATATATATATAT